AAAAAAAAGGGTTAATTTAGGTTTATTTAAATATTTTTTTTGGTGATTACAAGGTCGGTCAAATTGACCAATTTATTTAGGAGGTTTTTGGGATTACACAAAGGAAATTTGAGATTTTTGGTATGAGAAAAAGTATTTTAATTTTAACATAAAAATTATTTTGCACACGGACTATTCAAAACAAATACTCAATGCATTCATGGACAAATCTTTATTCTATTTTATTAAAAATACTTCACTAAGAAATATGACTTTTTGTATGTGAAAGATATGTAATATTAATTAAAAAGCTGCCAAATTTTGTGAAGATATTCCCACTATATTGAGAGCTATAAGTATTAAATCTATAAAGATTTTAAACGAGTACAAAAAGGTCATGTGGTCAGTCAAATTGACCGAGCCCGTATTGAGAGTGTAAATATCCCAGTTCAGAAGACTAGGTCATGTGGAAGGACGACAAATCTGGAAGGAATGCATTCACATGGTATAGACAGGGGAAGCAAAAACTCTTTGGTTTCAGGAAAAATGAAAGATATGGAATAAGGCAGTCTGATAACCTGAGATCGAAGACCCCTGGCCAAAAAGCTATGTGAAAAACTCAGCCACACGAGCCATAGTAGGTCGGTCAGTGGGGAATCCCCGAGTAGTGGACCAACTGTGGAACACCTTCCATTTGTGCTGATACACCTCCATTGAAGAAGAACGTATAGAACACGCCAAAAGGAATGCTACTCAACAGGAGAAACTTGATCTCTTCACCAAGGACCAGATAAAAGCCAGGCATAAAGATGAAGGACGTGAATGGTGGGATGTTAAAACAATGACTGAAATTTACAAAGATAGTAAGAGACAAGGGAATGGGTACTGGAAGGAAAAGGTGCAGTTGGTGTAATCGTGGAAACCACGGTTGAGTTGGCCAATAGAAAGCGATCAGAAGGACTCAACATGGAGTGGTATGGATAAGAGAGAGACCACCCGATGAAGTAATCAGATAGGAGGATAAACACAAAGGAATTTGTGGGACCACTCCTGGTTGAAGGCATCAATGGCCAGAGGCGGAGTATGAGGTACAAGGGACCAAAAATGGGGTAATTTGTAATTGAGAGTAGTGGCAAATGCATCTACGTCTGTTTGATTCCAACAGGGGGGAGAAGAAGGCTTGTGGCATGCATAAAGAAAAATTTCGCATATAGAGAGTAGCACGAAATTTTGTAATTTAAACTTTAAAACATTGACTTAAGTTTTTCATTTTAAAACGTTTATGTCTATACACAACAACATAGTTCAAAAACGTTGTATTATGCATGTAGCATTGTGAATCTAAGCTAATTAGAATTAAAGTATTGGAGTCAGAGCAGCCAACTGGGTCACACAAAGTTATTTGTGAACTTGTCCTGTGTATACAAACAACAGCTGATTGCAACAACAGGATCTGAATTCAAAAGTATTTATTTCTTGGTAAGAATAAATGGGCCAGAAGTAAGCTCAAAACAGTGAGCATCACGACAGACTTAACAGGGGTTCTAACAAGCCCTTGAAAAACTCATTTTACGAGCATTGTCCAACGTCAATGTGTGGGTGCACGATAAATCAAACTAATTTACTTGTCATTAATATTAGTATTAGGCTTATTATATATTTAAAACTGCATTCTATATCGAGTCTTTTAAGGATTTTCAAGAATTAGAAAAGTGTATTATAATAATAATAGTATTCTAACCACACCACGTTAGCCATATCCATTGCCAACGACATGTTTCATTCAATCAAAGCTCTTCAGGCCGGTTGGGACACAATAAAGACAGTAGTGGTCAGAATACTATTTATATAAGCCATTTTCGATGACGAGGAACCCACTTTAAGATTAATAATAGATGGAGATGGCTTGAATGGGTAATAAAGAAAAGCTTTAATATAAGTTTAACATAACAGCAAATGTACAACGTTTGACAAGGTTTTGTCCTAGTACCTGATGATGACAAAACTTTGTCGAAACGTTGTACATTTGCTGTTATGTTAAACTTATATTAAAGTTTTTCTTCATTACCCATTCAAGCCGTCTCCAGCCATTATATAAGCCATTTGTTACAACAACAGTTGTTATAAGCATGAAATTTAAAGTGTTATTTAATTACCACCAACACCACATAATTATGAAAGACAGTTTTTACAGGTACAGACAGATACATTAATATTTCATAGCTAAATAGCTGTCGGCATTTTTTATACTGAAAGTAGTTATAAAACCAATTACCAACTGTAAACTCAAGTTATACAAAGTTATCAAATAATTATAATACTCCTTTAACCTTATATAAATAAAGTAATGTAAAAAGTAGTAAAAATTACCTTTTACACGGATTCACAGACTGTTGCCTTAATGCAGATGCATTAGCAGCGTCCTCTGAAATCTGATTCAAAGGAGAATTTGGCTTCACACGGATACCATAGTAATGGTACTTTGAGTTGCCTCTGTAATCCAAGGAAGAGCTTATGCTGAGTCAAGAAATTCATACAAAAAACAAAAACGTTGTCAACATTTATGTTTGTCTCAGGGTATAGCTCCAGCTTTCTTATGAAGCAATTCAAAATAGGAACATAAGTTATAAACAACATTGAAATTAATAACATCACAGCACCATAGGAACCAGTACAGTTGATAAAGTCATGAGCACGCCATTTTTACCTCATTAAAAAAAATATATTTACTTTTTATGCAGAAAAAATAAGAATGATGTTCTCATACAGTCGCACACACGTGTGTGCATAAAAATAGATATATACACTTGCAATTCCCTGGTCTTGTGGTTGAACTACAAAAAAAAAATCCCCTTGCAGAACTAAAATTTCAGCTATACAGGACCAAAATAAATGTTTTCTGATAGTTTAATAGAAACGCAGTAGAAGTAAAGTGTACTGTTTTTACAAGTACAGCATATTAATGTAGAAATGACATCTTGCCACAGTGATTCACTGCTATCAAGTCGTACGATATGGCTGTGTTACTTCAAAATCCTTCTTAAAGCTATGCTAAAGTTCAGAACTAATAAAAATTCAATACATAATATAAATAGTATTTTACAGTTGTTTATGTATCCTACTCTTATGATATAAATCTAAATATCTAACACAGCTTACCTGACTGCATAGCTTTCTAATTTCACATTAAAAGGAGGATATAGCTTGAATTTAAGAAAATAGAGGTTATGCAGTAAAATAGCACAACAATCATTTTTTAAAGTGAGAACTTTCCGAAACAAACATGGTTCACTTACTTCTTTAATGGCATGCCCTAACTTAGATATATTTAAATTCCTTTTTGTCATACATGATATACTCTATTCATGAATGCAGAACCATTATGTGGTTTAAAAAACACATACTTTCTTCCAACAGAAAGATATCAAGAAATTTCATATCTAAGAGTAAACATACTGCTCTTTCTTTTATTTCCTACCTTGTGCCTAAACGCCTTGTTCTCAATCCTAGGAACACGGATCTTATTAACTTTCCAAAGGATGCTGCATTAACTGGCTCTAACTTGTGTTCGGTACAATGACGTAAATAGTGATTATAAAGAGTACTTCTAGGTAGGCTGACACCTTCTGCTGTCTCATAGTTATCTATTAGCCACTGAACCTGTTAACGAGAGAATAGTTCGATACATCCATTACTGAGCTGTTATGTGTTTTCAATTCAGTAAAAATTACTTCAGTATTGAAATTTTCTCCTCCACTTTAGACAGTTGGAAAACTTGTATTTTGGGATACCCGAGTTCAAATACAATGAGTCATTCTGTATCTTCAGAGTTGTTTAGTAACATTACGAAACTGCAGTAGCAAGGAAATACATTTCCTATTTCCAAGATATTCAAGACTATTTCCTTCACGAACCAACACAATTATCTTATTACTAAAATGTTTTACTACTGCTATTACAACAGTTTTTTACCAGAAATCTAATGCGTTTGTACAAGATTTAATAGTACACATATACAAAATGTTTCATTTTAAGATGAAAAAAAAGTAGCACTTCAACTGTTTATCGATATGAAAGCTTTCAATGAGGCTACAACTAAAGGATTACAAGTACGAGACTGCTCCATAAGGTCAGTGGTTAAAGTGGGAATCTGGAGTTGGTGTGACCCATTACCTAATATGATCCTCACTGTAACTCTTCCACAAACGGTTTAGTATCCCATAATACTGTTCCATATAGCTAGGGATCTCATCTTAACAAATTTCTTTTTAGTTGGAGGGGGAACACCATCACTTTAACCACTGTATCAGGCTATGTTTTAATTACAGAAGAACATGGAGTTTGAAGCATAAATTGGTTATATAACACTTTGAATATAAATAGCAAAAATAAAACATTTTTTTTAGTTTCATACTAAATTGAAGAAAATTTAAAACTGGTGGATATCACAGTATTAGAATCTAACCAAAACATCTGATAATAGGACATACTGTAGAATGTAGCCGATCAAAACGTTTCCCTAGTTTTAACTTCTGGAGATTGATAATGGCATTGTTTTTCCAATATACGAATAGAGATTTTTGCAAACGTGACTTAGCTACTCAGAAACAAATGAAAAGTGAGGACCGAAGACTTCCTTGGAATAAACACAACAGAATAAAAACCATGCAAGAGGAATTTAATATGTGAACTACTATATAAACACTTTATTGCAATAAGAGATACAGGAAAAAAAATGGTGCAAGAGATATATATATATATATATATGTAGATTAATGATAACTAAGGCCAAAACATTTCAGACACTGAGGCGAGATGGTGCTACAAAGATAATAAGACTCATCCTCTAAAAAATCAAGATGAGTAATTGATCAATGAATGTCAATTACAGTAAGTCTGTACATAATAGGTGCATGCTGTATACTGGTATAATACCATGCAATGAGAAAGACCATGCATATTTGTAAATGATCAGCATCTGATCCAGATTACTTGAAAACAAGCGAAATAATCAACTCGGTCATCAAGCAAAAATGTAAGATCCTCAAATTTCATATGGTACTGGCAGAACTATGTATTTTCTTTGGTTGACCCATCATTTTTGTATCTGTTCCTACTTAACCCTGCTCCGTAGACACAAGGCAAGGAACTCTGGAAGAAACACCTACATGAATTATATCCATGTCGCGCACATTTTGTGGCTGAGAATGGTGGGTTGACAAGGGTTGAGGCTGTTGGGGTTGAAGCTGCAGCTGATTATTTTCAGGGGAACTGTGCAGAGTCTGGATCACACACTGATCATTAGGAAAGGAGGGCATGACCTCCGTGATCTTTCGAGAGTCCTCCTGAAAAAAGTCAGTATATAAACCAATGCAAGAACCAAGTTTTTAATTTTTAATCTTTAGTTGTTGTTTTTAAATTCTTAAAGGTTCAAAACTTACAGCTTTATCTATTAACTGAGCGATATAAAATGCATTTGATTTTATTACTATTTTTTGCTAACACAAACAAAATCACCATCTTCTAATAAAGGAAGTATTTTATGTAGATTTTGATGAAAATGTATTATTCCTAACACATTAACCTAAAATAACGTAACCTAAATATATATATATTTCATAAATTCACAGTTTCCGCTAAAAAAATTTTATTTTTTTTTACTTCACGAAAATGGCAGTCTGTTATGTATAGTGAGCTCAATAATTTTATCTTGCTCGTAATATCCTTTTATGTTTTTCACGTTTCTATATTTTCTGTTCTGTTCTTACCACATTGAACCTTATGATCTAGAGAATCTAAAAAAAAAATTTAATTTTCATTGAACAGAGTCAGTAAATTTCAAACCACAGAATAATTAAATATCACTATATAAAGATATACAAAAAGGATAATATCTAGGCTTTATTAAGTCCAGGTATACTAACAAGACACTAGGTTTACAAGGTGCAATATGAATAAAATGGATGATACTGTAAACAATGGTGTAATAGTTTTGATTTGGCGTTAATCTAACAAATCTTGTACTCATTACAGTTATTTGTGTTAAGTGGATGAGACACTAGTGAATGAAGTAAAGCAGTAAGAAACTCTTTCAAAGTAAAATCTTGGTCTGCAAGACATTAAGCTGACTTACATAAACCTTTAAAGGAAAAACTAAGGTTAACTTTCTAGAAAAAAATTAAAATAAAACTCTTCCGAAAAAAAATGAAAATTAAATTTAAACTCTCTGCAGAATTTTTTTGTGAAATCCTAATTATTTAAAAGAAATGATGATTATTTTTCATGCTGAATTTACATAATTTTGAACAGTCTAAACCAATAACTATAAAGTGCATTGATCAGCTTAACAGAGTGTTTTAAATCAAATACTTGAACAACAAATCAGTACACAAAAACTGAAAAACAGAATCCCATACTATTTCTGAAAAGTAACTAAAATGTTTTTTGAAACATAGATTATTTAACATTTCTAAACGCCGCCCCCCCACCCGGATTTAAATTGGTTGTTTTCCGACAAGATAATGTTTAATGAATAGATTCATGAATTTACTAAGACAATTCTGGTATCAAGCTTAAGAGATCAACACTAAATTATTTTTATGGTTACAATAAATGTCATAAGTCATGGTAAGACATATGTTACTCTGATTCTCTTCATATTTTAGTTGCTTGTACCAAATTGTACAGGTTGTCATGTCCCTGCACCTTTCACTCTAAGATTACTATTTTACAAATCACTTTTTCACAATAAAGTTTCTTTTTCATTTACAATAAACCTCATGTTTTGACAAAAACACAAGTTACTTTTATGTTGTTCTAACTCACAATTTGCTCTTTCAACACTTAATAATTCATTGTACTTGCTATATCTCATCGTTTTCCTAATTATAATTACATGAATTATTTTTTAAAAGAAAACTAGGAATAATTACTCCTTAATAAAATAAATCTGATGCCAAAAATGGCTCACTCTCCTATCATTCCAAGTAAAGTGTGAGGTTGATTAGTAGGGAAAAATAGAAAAAGCAATTAAAAGTAGACCACAATATTAATGTTAGGTCACATGAGGGGGAGGGAGCAATTATATTAATTTACTTATTATTAATTGTCAGCATTTCTTTTAAAAGATGAAAGACAAAGCAGAAACATAAATAGATCAGCACAAAGGATGACAGTCACCACAAAAAAAGTACTTACAGTTACTGGGGAAATGCGAGTGGTTGTGGAAGAGGCAGTGTTAAGGTTCTGATGAGAATCTCCCTCTAGGAGTGCCTCCTGCACCTTATAGCCCCCGCTGTCCTCCAGAATGTGGACCAGTAGTAAGAACAAACACGAAAAAATACATGGCACACCAAGACACACAAACCCATACAAAGTAAAATTAAGTTTTTTTTCACATTCATATCACAGAAATCAGTCAGTCTTAACAACAATCTGAAGCAGGGAATCTACACTGACAGGAAAAAAGAACTTGTACTGCTAAAAACTAACAAACCAGAAAATCTAATTATTATTTTGTTTTTCATTCTGATTCTGTGAAGTTCAAGCTGACAAGGTTATTTGACAAAGTTCTAAAGTATACAATTTATACAGCTCATATTGAAGAAATGTTTAGTTTATTTTAACATTCAGTTGTTTTTATTATGAAATACACTATGTTTTGAGCACTAAGGATTTGTTCATTGACTTTTGAACAGCAGTGTATTAACTAATACTACGAAAGACCAAACTCTGTAAATTAATACATATATAAGATTACTAATTTTTTTCATACTCTCAATAACAACATTCGGCAGTGTAGAGAAATATCCAATTTTTTTGTTTACAGTTTAAGGATGTTTTTTTTGTTAAAGAGGAGTTATGAACTTGTCATTATGTATAAACTACCTAGACTCAATTACAATTCTAATTAATGCTTTCTTTTTGGAAACCATCAATTACATAATTTTATGTTTTATATATATATACATTAGAAAGCTGTTGCAAATCTACTAAATCCAGAACACGATCCAACATATAAACTCAGGAGCGACTTTTATGTCTTTCTAAACATGTTCTACTTTCAGGGGAAAACTTCATATTTCACTCCCTTCAAGATTTCAAGACTACTTACTGCCATCTTCTATAGTTGAACAACAAAAAAATCAAATATTCAATAAGTCATAACAAAACCAAAAGCTTCAATAGGAATAAAAACACCATCAAATGGTTTTATTCACACAGATCATCCAAGTTTACAAATACAGTTCATCAAAGAAGGTTCTTATTTCCACTTAAGCCTGGTCCTGTCATATAATTAATACACAAAACAGTGAATATATGCTTGGCATAGAGTAGGCAAGTTAATATTAGTCGGCAACTCAGTTAATGAGCTAATTAGTATTATCTTTCATGCATTATCCAATGTAATTGATCGTTTCAACAAACAGTATTGCTTCACTATGAAAAGTACATAAATAAAACTGCACGAAAACAAAAAATACAAAAACTTTAAACATAATATACTAAGACTGAATTCTATGAGCAATTGCTTGCAAATTTGAAAAATAAAATATATCAAAACAAGGGCATTTCAAGCTATAGCATCTTTAATTTTGGTTTGTCTCTCATAACCACTGAGTTTTTTTTTGTATTTTAAGGGCAATAAAATTATTTACTGATGTATATGCATTTAAAAATGGGCATTCACTTACTGTACAGAGTTCAAAATATGTGGTTTCTAGCTGTTGGATACAACCAAAATTATCACTTGGGCTTGGGTTTTTAGAATTTTGCGCAAAGCTACACGAGGGCTATCTGCGCTAGCCGTACCTAATTTAG